GCACTACATAAACGCAAACAGTTACATTTTGCTCCCTATCAGAGAGGTGCCACTCTCCCCATTACAAGTTAGAGTACAATAAGAGATGATTTTCAAGATGTTATTTCAACCCAGAGCAAAGGAAGATTTAAAGTAAGATCTCATCTTAGTTGAGTATATTTCTCCTAGGCAAAAGTGAGCTCAATAGAATATCAGAATTAGATTTTCACCACTTTCTCGAGCTTCTTAATTTCAACTCCTGAGAAACGGCTTTCCTCTCATCTCAGGCTTATCCCAGTGTAAGATCCTGAAATACTTTTTTCCCTCCCTCATTGCACTGATCTGTCTGATCTGTATTTGTCTGAAATAATCAACTTTTAAGATAACAGTACAATCCAAAAGCATACTGGATAGACTTATAAATGAGCTTCCATAGTAACAGAAATTTGTCACAGTGATCAAATTCAAGTCTCGTAGTATGTTTTATCTGTTCACACTTCTAAGACCTATATATAAAAAACATTTTTTTATTGATGTATCAGAAATCTAATTATGCTTGTGTGTCATTTAAAGTACACATCTGCTGGTATGGTTTTAATAATATTTATTTTCAATTTAAATCAAAGTTTTCATTTATCATTCTCACATTTTTTTCAGCAGTATTGACACCAAACAGTTCATCAACCATACATACATTGTGGAAGCCTTTGCTGAAAAGAAAAGAACAAGGGACAATGTTTCCCTGCCTGTAACGGAGTTGCTGGGGCCTCTCCCTGGAGCCAGCAAGCAGGGGTGCGAATACTTGTTTCCCCTTTGTTTGGTGCACGTACATTTGCCTGCTGAGCAAGAGGGTTGTTTCCCTGTGCCTTAAGGTGGGGAACTAGTCCTATTATTTGCAGGTATGGTCACATGGGCAATGACAGTGAGACCTTGTGGGGTGTGATCTTAGGAATGGCCTGTCAGATCTGAATCTGAGTGGTGTTACATTGCTGGATTTCTGTGATAATCATAGTTTGTCCAAAACAAACACATTCACTTGGCACTAAGCTCTGTGGCAGGTCAATGATCAGTTTTGTGTTAATATAACTGGAGCTGTAGCAGCACATCTTAGACACTGCGATGTACAGAGTAGCGAAACTGTCAACTGACCACCACCTGGTGGTGAGTTGGGTCAGGGAGTAGGGGAAGATCCTGGACAGGCCTGGTGCTCCAATACATAAAGTGAGGGTACATGAGGTCCCGGTCCTTGAGTTCTTCAACTCCCACCTACAGCAGAACATCAACAGCATTCTGCAAGAGGCTGGGGGGACTGAATACAAATGAACCGTGCACCTCCACTGCTGAGCCACCTGACCATAAGGTGGTTGGTGCAGGTGGTGGACTCTTGAAGTGAAGGGAGTCAAGATTAAGAAGGAATCCTATCAGACTTGGTTAACCTGTGGGATAGTAGATGCAACTGAAGGGAATCAACAGAATGCCACATTGACAATACCTGAATCAAAAACTTAGGTATGGAAGGAATTCAGAGAGGTCATGGAACAAGACATCAGGAGAAGAAAGCAGTGAGAATCAGAATCAGAGAGACTTTATTTATCCCCAAGGGGCAATTAAGAGAATGTAGTGCTGTTGACTTGAAATGAGGACAGGCCAGGCAGTGGAAGCAATACTTTGAGGATCACCTCAATCCCACTGACGTGCCTTACATAGAGGAAGCAGAGTCTGGTGATGAGGGGATGACTTGAGGTTACCGAGGTAGCTAAACAACTCCTCAGTGGCAGAGCTTCTTGTCGTGGAACTCTGTTAATTATGCTAACAGTCCTTCCAAGAAATCTGTGCTAGAGACTTAGTAAGGGAAATGCTAGAATTTTATTTGTGTTCCTTAACACTAATTAGCAGGTATCTGTCCCTGTGCAGCACACTCATAGAGAACATGGATGCACCTCGTTAATGTGCAACTTCCCAGAATAAGTTACTAATTTAGCTGCCCCCTTATTTTACAAATATCAACATTTCTGGCTACAAAAAAACCCAAGATGACAATGTTGGCTGTCGATGGCTGTCACTCTGACTTCAATCAACAATGAGTTATGGGGCTTTAACACAGGATGTACCTGTAGCACTTTAACGCTTGCTGCTGGGTCCAGCACACAGTTCAGTCCCAGATTACCCCAGAGCAGAAGGTGGAGGTGAAGCATAGCTGCAGTTTCCAAAACTTTCAGTGGGTATCTGTGTTTTCTATGCATTGCTCTTTACCTCAAGAGTTTTAAAAGATTCATAAAGCTATTAGCACACAAGAAATCTAAGGTGCACTTAAACAGGGCGCCAATTTACAATAAGCTATGTAACTGTCAAAAACAGAGTTATTATAGTTTTTTTAGGTTTTGTTTTTATTCTGTTCATGTGGATGAAGCGTTTTCAGTGGGAGAAACGTCTCATTTAAGTGACTTCTTCAGTTTTTTGGGATTTCCTTATCTGGATGATTGAGTTTTTGTTTGTGAATTTGATAACTGGAGTTTGAAATTGATACCGTGGGTGTTTCTCCCCTAAATCTCTGATGCATTTGAATCTGTTCCCTTCATCACGCGGGGTCACCACAGCAGGCAGCTCCACGTTTGATTTGGTGAATTTTTACACTGACACATCCCCAAAAGGAATTTTTGTCTCCTCCTTTTGCTTGTTAGGCAAATATGTAATCACTACGATATAATTTATTTACTTTAGGCACAAGATATAAACCTTTCCTGCATTTTACCATCCTGCCTGCTGACCAGCTGAATGGATCCTTTCTGTTGCCTGCACAGGCAGTCACTGCAGTACACAGCGGTCAACATTCACATTTGTTGACCCTTTGAACGTTGACCACTGTGTCCGCAAGAGCTCCCTACTTGTGCGCATCACAGCGCTTGCACTGTGCAGCAGCAGACCATTGTACCCCCACACAAGGGTTTCAGCATGAAGTGCATCCCGTGTTCGATGTAAAAGCACCTTGACTCGTCCAAACCACATTCATGCAAGGCTTTCATTAATTACACGTGTTACCACAGTGAATATATATATATATATATAAAATCAATAAGCTAAATAATTACGCACACCCCACTTTTCAGTTATTTATTTGTAAGACACTGTATCTGTTTACCAGGCTTTACAGTTGTGTTTCTTTTGTTATTCCTAAACCAGACAAGAACATTTGTCTTAAATTAGTTTATGAAAGACAGAATTCAGAATCTAATAAGCTTCAGATGTGAAAAGGATTATCGGGTGGGGTGGGGGGCCGGGGGGAGTACTGTAGGCAGCAATTTTTCTTTCTTCTAGAAAGGAAAAAATATTTGGATGATGTAGCTGTTGTTGCTGATGATGCTTGCTTGTCCTTTTACATCCAGCTGGTTATCAGAAGGTGAAAAAAGTAAAAACACCTGTGTAGGTTGACCGTGGTAGTTTGTGCTTTTATATATTTAGAACTAAATCAATACGGTGTTGTACATTTATTGGGTCTGCAATATATTGGTAATTGAGACTGGCAACAGTTACAATAAATCTTATTACACCAGTCAGAAACATGACACACATACCGCAAATTCTCAACTATTGATCTCATGTTTTAAACCACAGTCTTTAGTGGATTGCTGCATTTGTGTCCTGTTTTATTACTGCTGCACATCTATTTCTTGTGTTTACAGTATTTAAGGTATGCTCATCGTGTCTCTGAACGTACTGCAATCTCTGGGGCACCTTTGTTGAAAAAATTGTTTACATTTTCATTTAGCTTCTCCAGGCAGCAGGAATGATATCGTGAGGTTTTAAACACTGGAGATGCTCCAGAAACTGACCCGCCTTATGCTGAAGGGCCCAGCTTTAAGGACGGGAGAGCCACTGAACAGAAGCTCAGATTAACAATAATCCCTTGTTCAACTTGTTGAGAACTTGCTCAAATCTCTCGTCTATCACTCCCATTCCTGTTTTATTTTGCCGGGTGTGCCAGACTGCTCCAGTTAGTGTAGACACGCAAGATACCTCTGCCTCAGCCTCAGCCTTCTAAATAACTGTCGATCCATTCGCTTTAAAATGTGGAAGAATTCAGCTTTTGTAAATGTATAAGGAATGTGTTCAGCTTTGACAGTTCAGCTTATGGATTCTTCACAGAAAAGTGAAACGAGCTGGTCTCTCAAATCAATAACTGGCAGATGTAACTCTGCACTGAAAAGAGTTTCAAGTGCTGCTCCAATAACTGCAGCAAAATGAGAGGCGACGTAATATGTTTTTCAGAGTTATTGTCGTTTCTTTGTTTGTTTGGAAATGTTCTTGTATACATCAACAGACTCAGGGACGGGTCACACAGGAGAGTGAACAAACATCACGGGGAAGCTGGCATTTGAAAGAGGCCTAATCACAACTAAACTAAATGCCTGAAACTATGAAATGAAATATCAGACGTGTGTGTGTGTGAGGGGGGGGAGCCTCTATATAGTTCTGCATCAGTTACTTTTCAATTACAGCAGCCCAAGCAGAACGAAATTGTTAGTGTCATTTATCGACTGTGGTGCCCTCCATTAGAGTACCAACTGAGAGAAATCCATCCTGTTGTATAACCACCTGGCTGTCTTACAATAACAAAGAGTTCATTTCTGTCAGCTGGCCTTAAGTGTTTTGGGTGTTATACAAGGAACAGATGAGAAGTATACACCAGGAAACGCAGGAAAGCACACAGAGACCAATAAAGTCTAACCAAGCAGGTAATCATCTTGATGGCTTTTCTGAAACAGTTAGAAGACAGAGTGAAATACCAGAGGTGCCTAAATGAATGAGATGACAAATCATAAAAAGTTACAAATATTTTAAATATAAATATTTATTTGAGCAATTTTAAAATTAATAAAAAAAAAATTGTTGCTTTTGAATACCTTCGCACCCGAGCACTTTCTAACAGCACAGTTAAAATCATGTCTATTACTTATGCCTTGATGATCTACCCTGGTGATGTGGACCAGGCAAGAGTAGCCGAGCGCAGACAACATCCCCAACCCCCCTATGTGTATATTTTTTTAATACTTTGTGAGGAAAAACTGTCAACCATATCCAAAGTGCAGGACCAAAGAGAAGTAAATAATGTATGCTTTTATTAGATTCTTTGAAGACGATATGTGCTACGCGTTACCCGTTTCAAATGTGGAAGATTTCAGACCTCTGCACAAAACAGATTTTGATAATCAGAAGGTGTATCTGGTTCACAGAACTGAAGAGAATGGCAGCGCAGGCCAGCCGTGCGAAGCACAGATCCTTGCCCTTGCAGGTAAGTTGTCCTCCTAACGCAGGAGATTTTGTCTTTTTTAACGCTTCTTTTCGCCGTCTGACCAAGTAACGCTGATGTGCGCGAAACTCAGGAATGTGTCAAACCAAGTGTTTTCTTTTTCCTTTTTTTGACCCGATCTGTCAGGACGTGATCAGCTGGAATCTGACACCGATAGCAACAACAACGTCCTCGGCTGTGGCTAGCTAGATATGCTAGTTAGATATGCTAAGATAAGTTTGGTATGTAGTCATACCTTGTTGTCGGTGTTTTATATGTTCTTTACACTTACTGCGCCGTGTCTCTTAAGTTACCCCTCTTGTTTGGGTTGGGTAGTATTGGTTGTGTCGCTAAATACGTGGCATGTAACGTTAGCGACTCACAACGGTTGTTTACAACATGAAGCTAACGCTTGCTAGCTTGCTTGGTTTGTATTCGTTCCGTGTTAGCATGCTACTGCCGACGTACAGACGCAAGGCTGTCACCGTATTATAAACATATTTGACAGCCGGTGACTGATCTGTCATTATTTTTGAGGCTCTCAAATGTAGTTGAGATGCCAATCCGGCGGCTTTGGTGGGCTGCAGTCTGCATGTTAGCTTTCTTATCGGCAGATTCGTGCCACAGAGGGGTTGCGGTGCTGCAGTCGTTGCAGACTACATACAGCAACCTGTCAGTAACATGTCAGCATCGCAGCCGTTTCATGTAGGTTTATCGTGCAAATGTGATGAAGTGTGCAGGTGAAATGCTTTTGCTCGTGTTTATTTGGAGTTGTAGAAATGTTTGCTCACGGTCGTTTTCTATGCACGATCTTTAGCTACATCACTAATCCCCGAGTCTGATCTGTCTGAGCTGGGAGATCTGTACAATGTCGCCAGCCCAGGACCATTTGTACCGCAGTCCTCTGACATGCTTACACTCCTACCTCATTTAATGCTAAAGTCGCCTTGATGAGGCAGAATGGAGAGGCTAACCAATACAGATGAGAGCACTTCCGTAGATACTTTGAAAAGCATACTTTGAAAATTCATGCAACTTTTTAGGGACTTTTACGAGTTTATTCTTGCTTCTATTTCCGGGGCTCACAGATACAGTAGAAGAATTTGAAGACAGTATAACACAAAAGAAGATGAAAATTCCCAAGATGTCCACGAAGAATTCAGGAAACTCCATCGAGAACAATTTTGGAGAGGAAAGAATGCCACTCAGGCATAAAAAGGTAGGAAGATCAGAGGTACACTGTGGTTGTTGGGCATTGCAGCAAACATATGTGTCTGCTGCAATGCACACATATTGCATCATTTATACCGTCAATCATGTATAAATGATCTAAATCAAAAGGTGTTTAGACTTGTTTATGTTAATAGTATCATGATAGTCTATCACACTGGGTCCGTGACATGCATTTGAGGATACTTTACATTAAAACTAATTGCATTAAATGTCATCTTTCAAATAGAAAAATGACTCAAGCTTTGCCTTTTACTGTGTCAGAGAAAACCCAAAAAAGTTAAGTAGTGGAAAAAGGCCACATCAACACTCCAAGTATAGGAGCATGTATAACTTCACATGTAAATTTTTTGCAGCGATGCTCTGATATCTAAATATATCTATCAATGATACGTCACATTTTCATAAACTTGGCTGACACCCCAAATCCCCCACACTATTTTTACCATATGCTGGATTAACACAAATTCAGCACTCTGGACAGCTGCCCTTTCACAGACAAATCCTCTGAGCGGCTCATCAAAGAACTCTGTGACTCCTGTCCTCCCATTTCCTATTGAGATTCGCATGTCAAAACAAACAGTTTGAAGTCTGCCTGTCGTGTCATTTCAGACAGATTTGTGGTTTTACGTAATATTTTTCTTCTGTTTTGAGTGGCGTCAGTCATATATTTAGTCAGAGTCATAGCAAAGAATTTTACACAATACTATCTTGATGCATGCTCAATCGTCTGGGTAAGAAAATCCCAGAAAATAAATTATGTTCTTCTGGATGCAGCGTTTTCAAAGTTGAGACTGAAGAAGTTGATTGGATGATTGATGAAGTGTGTCTCCTAATGGCAACACTATGTCCGGATGAACAGAATCGACTTTGTGGGAATACTTGTACATATGAATAAATATTTTAACAGGCCTAACACCAGAGTTCTCAAAGTCCATGACATATTTTTTTAAATATAGGTCAGATTTCATTTTGCCAACCTATTTCGTCTCTAAATTGAGTTATTACTCTCCTCAGGCCCTGTCACAGGACCATGGACGCCCCCTTTCTAACTCATCCAAAAGCCTAGCGGCGGTAGTGGCTCGCCTAGAGAGAAATGCAGCCAGCTCTTGTATGGAGGGCGAGGAGGACCTGGATGAGGACCGGCTGGCTGAGGTGGGAGAGGATGCAGATGACGAAGATGATGATATGGAGGCAGAGCATCAGCGACATCATCACCAGCAGCAACAGCAGCATTTGGCGGTGGACACAGATTGTGTGCCTGAGGTGGCTGCCGCTGTTGTTCCCAGAGTTCTGTATGAGGAGCTGGTTCACAGCTATAGGCAGCAGGAGGAGGAGATGAGGAGGCTACAGCAGGAGTTGGAGAGAACCCGCAGACAGTTGGTGCAGCAAGCCAAGAAGCTCAAGGAATATGGCAGCTTGCTGACAGAAGTCAAAGAACTGAGGGACTTCAACAGGAGACTGCAAGACGTACTTCTCATGAGACTGGGCAGCGGTGAGAGACCAGTAGCACCCACACACAAGCCAACAAACCAGTTACCAGTACCACAAAGTTGATTAGTGAACTTTAACCTCGTCAGTTGTTAAAGAAAACGTTTATATTTAAAATGAATACATATATAGTAAGGAAACTGACAAGTGAAGTGTTTCTTATACAGAAACATCTGATCAGCAATAAGGCCACAATTTCAGTGGAAGGAGTTTAGCAGCAAGCGTGAGAATATATATTAAGTTTAGTGTTCACTTTATGTCCACACAGCACAGTAATTTTACCATCTCTCTCCTGACAAGGTCTGGATGACAAATGCAGACAATAATTATTTCTTTTTGCAATTATGTGCAAAAAAACAAAAAAAGTGTAAAGATGAATGTCTGTGAAGGTTCTCAGGTTCTCTCATCCGGGAAGCTTCTTCAGTTCAGAACTAAAGAAGCTTCTTGGATGGTGATGATGATGATGGCTGAGTGTCAGTCAGTTAATCTGCTTAAGAACTGATTCTTTTATAAAACGAGAGTCCTACCTACTTTATAGGTGTCTTTAAGTTTGATTTTTGTTACTGTATATGGGTGCCATAAATGTGCACATTCTAAATATTGTCGCTGTTGCTGCTAGATAAGCCCTTACAATATTAGAGAAAGAACCAGACGATCCTCTTTGAGCAAGAAATTGGTGAGGGCGGGAAGGAAGAACACCCTTTTAACTGGAAGAGAGCTCTGGTTCAGGGAGGGGCAGCTGTCTATTGCGAACAGTTGGATGTGAGGAAAGAGGAAAAGAGAGACGAGGACAAAGCACCGGTGGGAAAACTACGTTTTGATTTCACACAAGGCTTGAACCCCAGTCTGTTGGGTGAGGCTCATGTGACCCATTCATCCAACAGTACCTTGTCCCTCTTTTGCTTCTCCCACCACCCACTAAGTATTTATTATGTCTTTCTCTCACAGTACAAAAGTTCTAAAGTCCAAACAAAGTGATGGTCCTGGACTAATGTTATTTTGATTTAGGAATATTAGACACGCAATTATATCAGATAAGCCTAAAGAAAAGCACTAAGCTTACATTTAAATCAGATACAGTTTGTATAACCCAGTGTCCCATACAGATTGATCATAATTACCATAACAGGACTGGTTTCTGCCAGAATCAGGATAAGATAAAAACTGAAGAAACCTTTGGGGAATGATGTATACATGTGGAGAGAGATTATAATCCAAAGGGATTTTAACAGGTCTATTGCTGAAGTGGTAAATCCAGTACTGGAAGTTGAATAAAATGCACTTTGGTTGTGTGATTAAAAGTGGTGTCATTGCAGTGCACAGTGCTGTACATACTCGAGCTCTGCCAGATGCTGGTCTTAACCTCAGACCCCCTGCAGATCTGAACAGAGGCGCCCAGCTACTGGCTAGACCATCTAATGGACAGGCTAAAAATTAAAGCACCCTGGGGTGCTGTCAGGCAGTGGATGGAGTGCGCTGACCGATATTAAAACTCATCAGCTACATTGGAGCTTAGCGTGGCCAGCCACCAAGCCAGCTTAGTTACTGGGCTAAAATAACTGCCTGTCACAAGGCACAGGCAAGCCTGTGCCCAAGGCGCATAGCAAGCAAACAAGCAGGTGGGCACTGCTCCAGCGGTGAAGGCAAAAAACCCCTCACACTGTACTACTGTAAGAATTCAGGTGCTAGTAGCTGTTTACACCTAGCATTTTTTCCCTCGTTTCTGCTGTATTTTAGCATGTTTTAGTTTCGCCAAGTTGCGTTAAGTGAAAACAGAGGTTTGTCGTTGCTTTTATCTCCATAATTGTTAACGTCTCCTTTATCTCCTAGAGCCTATGCATGACAATGGCACCCAGACAATCAAGGCTGAAGTGGTTGAACCTATTGTTGAGGCCCAGGAGACATGCAGAGAAGAAGCCAACACCAGTTCCAGCTACTCACCCTCACCTAGAACAGTATACACCTGCAACGACGGCAAGGTACGTTTCTCCGAGCTAAGAATTGCTGCGTATTTAATTGCATTTCTAGTTTTCCATTTTCGCTCCAACTAGTACATGAAGAAAACCTTTATTATTAATTTGTGTAATTTCTTGTCTGTACTGTTTCATGGCTGTATAAATCTGTCTTTTTGTGCTGACATTAATTCTTTAAAGCAAAGTGAAAACAAGAGGATCTTGTGCACGAAAATTCGAACTGATGTCATAAAAGTGATTGCAAGGCTGTTAGCATAGTCCAGTTAATTTCATATTTTCTAATGTAGGAAAAAGAATTGTTCTTGAAGTTCACTCAGTAGTCAACAGGCCTATTTTTTCAATTATGTTTGCATATATTTAAGTGAACTTCTAATTTATAGTGTAGAGTAGAAAGGGCACTAAAACTCTGACTATGATGGTATCTTAATAACCAATTTTGAGAGCTTCGAATCATTTGGTCCCCTTTCATTTTTCCTTGTGGGTGGCTGTGAACAGTATCCTGATTTTACAGGAAGTGCTGCGTTTCCTCTTAACACCCGTGAATCTGGGAACATGCTGTCATTGTTGATCAGTCCTTTCCCCTAGCTGCCTTACCCTTGCAGGTAAACAAGGTTGAGAAGATTATTATTGTTCCTGCAAGCGCAGCCAGCATCGTCGGTGTTTATTAGCCTGTTAGGGTTCTTTACTGCCCCCACTGCTGTAACTCAACCAGCGTCCTGTCGCTGATGACAGGGGGGGAATTGGTAGTACAAGCTCTGGGGCCTGCAGCCACTTCAAGCGTGAAGAACACTTGCAAATTAGAACTGTCCTACATGAGGGACCCCATATTAATTATTTGCACGAGAGGAATTTAAAGTGACTGACAGGTTAACCCTACTGAGAGTGCGCTGGAAAGGGTGGGGAGGGGTCGTGGAAAAAGAAGAAAAAGAAGAGGCTTTTTCTACCTCGAGGGCAGTAAAAAGCTTGTCTGCTGGCCGGGGGCCTAAAGCACATTAGCTGCACAGGGAAAAGCCTTTTGGATGCTAGCCTAAAGACTTTACGGTGATAAGAGAGTAGGGAAGGGAACGAGAGTCACATATGCAGCCCCTCCGGTACAGTAGCTCACCTAGAAGACCAGGGCAGTCTGCCATGGCTGGCAATCAGCTTGAAGTGTTTGGTCCAGGCTTACGCAATGTACAGTGACTGTGTAAAGAGCCACAGCCTAAGTTTGTAATGAAGGTAATCCGTGCTACAAGAAGATAGTGGCCAGAGCTTGTTTACGTATCCTAGAGGGTGAAAGTGACCCTTCTTGGAAAGTTTGATTTAGTCTAAGCGGGAGGTGAAAGCTGAATGTGTCCTGCTATAATTAGCATGTTCTCTGTTTGTCTTCACACTACCAGAATTTTACTAGTCTGTACAAAATCGCTGAGATTACACCACAAGACACAAGAAAAAGTAAAGCACCATCAAGCTGCAAACACACACACATCTTCTTCATTATATTTTGAAAATATTTTGGGGAAATTATTAAGGAAAAGCTTACGTTTTAAAAGTAAGCAGTCATTTAAAATCAGTGAAAGGTTGAAGAAAGTTGTTCCAAAGTTTTTGGACTACAAACTCAAAACAGCAGTCCCCTCTGGATTTAAAATAAGAGCACAGAACAGTTAGGAGACCCTGATCAGATGATCGCAGAGGCCTACTGCTGTCAGTAGCTCAGATATATATGCAGAAGCTTTGCCACGTCGGACTTTATATCATATTAAATTTAAAAAAGGGGTGATGTGTAAGGGCCTGCTAATTTTTGTAAGCAGCCTAGCTACTGCATTTGGGATCAGTTGAAAACAGGCTGAGGAGGATGTATGTTTGTACTAAAAGTTCCAAATCATTGGATGGCAGTAAAGGTTTGATTTTTCTAATGTTTCTTGGATGGAAGAAACACGAGTAGATGAGCTCTGAGATGTGAGGTTTCAAACGCTGGTAAAAATAATAGCAGGTCTTTAGCAGAGGGTTTGATATTGCCGGCGAGCGGCCCGATGTAATGACTGACCTCCTTAGAGAAGTTTTCAGGGCTGAATACAAGAGCCTGATGTCATGATGTTGCCTAGCAACCACCTACCAACGGTCTAAAATAACTAATTTGTAGCATTTATTCACCTATATCACATTATAAAAGCATTGTGTGATTTTTGACTTCATGACAATAGCTTATCATCATATTATATCCACTGTCCACTAATATTATGCATGATATATTATTACATCATGTTGCCTAGCTATCAACCTACCAGTGGGCTAAAAGGACCCATTTATAGCATTTATGCACCTAAAATACATTAGGGACACCTTTCATTTCACAACAATAATATGTAACTTTTATAATTTTATAATAGTTTTACAAATTTCACAGCTATTGGAAATTTGGGTGAGTTCAATTATACATGCAAGTTTGTTATTTTTACAGAAAAAAAAATTTTCTGCCCCAAATCATGAAAGACAGATGTTTCTTTTTTTAAGTTGTCTTCATGCTTTCCCGTTTGTCTTGTTTTTTCTCTTTTGGTCAAGAGCTATGAACATTTCTGTTCAACCATATCTGACTCAAAATCCAATTGCTGTGTCTTCCAAATTCGACCTGTAAAGAGTCACAGTGTAACTGACGTTTGATCCTCGAAGATCTGGGTTATTCCCACTTTTTTTTCCCCACAAACAAACAGTTGAATAGATGTGAAGCTGTAATGTTCTTTATCTAAAACACGGATATCTACTTTGTCTTCTGTTGACTAAAAATTAATAAAACTAGTTGAGTGTCACAACAATAAATCCTGACACCGTGCCGGTGACAACATACTGTTTGTTCTATAATGAGCCGTAGATGGAGAAGAAGAAGTTTCCAGTTGTGCTTTTCACAAACCTTTGTTTTACGTCTCTAGGTACACCTTGGTGGTGGGATCTGGGTGGAAGAAGAGAAATGGCACCAGCTGCAGCGGACCCAGGGAGATTCTAAGTTCACAAAGAACCTGGCTGTAATGATCTGGGGCACAGAAACCCTCAAAAACCGCAGTGTCACTGGAGTGGCCACTAAAAAGAAAAAAGATGCCTTGCCTAAACCTCCACTGTCACCCAGCAAGCTGAAGATTGTCAGAGGTAAGACAAACTTTTCCTTTTTCTTTAAAATGTATATTTCAAACGTTTGACAAACCCTTCTTTGGACGAGTTGCAAAAATGTTTTAGTAAAGGTAAATTCTTTAGCCTTAAGGCGAGGCCAAAATGAGCGGCTTTTAATTTGATGTGGTCTGATTACTCACACTCGCTCCTTCCCCAGAGTGTCTCTACGACAGAGTGTCTCAAGAGACAGCCGACAGTGCAGAGATAACGCAGAGATTGTCCAAAGTGAACAAATACATTTGTGAAAAGATAATGGACATCAACAAGTCCATCAAGAATGAGGAGCGGCGGGAGTCCAAGCTGCTCATCAGACAGACAGTCAAGATGGAGAACTTCACCTACGATGGCATATAGTGATCAACTGTCACCCCAGCGCCTTCTGCCCCGCGTGGTCTGCAGGATATTGAGGGGACTTGATATGGGTTGTCGGGGGATGCTGTAACCATTTCAGGAGCGGTCGTATTACTTTGGCACATCGGATTGGTTGTTATTTGAAATGTTAAAACAAAGAGGCCCCTTCGCCCGCCCCTCCGTAAAGAACCATCATCACATTTCTGTGAGCCCGCTTTTCTAATTGGCCAACAGACAGCTTTACCCAGTGGTTAGAAACTGAACATGTGAGCTAGCTTGACATAGGCTGGTGTGAGTGTTTTTATAAGCTTTACAGTGGCATTGGTACAGAGATGCAGATTCTTGAGGTTTGTGCATGTGTGTCAAAAGAGAAATTAGGTGTGATTATTACTTTATTGTTCTGTGTCAGAACATAATTGTTGAGTCCTTGAACTTTTAAAAAGTAAGAGATTATTTCCCTGGGCGAACGAATGATGCTAGTTTGCATTAGAGCTTAGATGCGTGAGAGGTTGACTGTTATGGTGACTACTCAATAACTGCTGGGAGTTGGTGCGGTTGGTACTTACTGCATAGAATGGGACATCAGGGTCTCAAATGCACAAGTCTTAATTAGTAACAGCCATATTTCATTTTGCAGCAGAGATTCTGTTGCTCCTAAAGAGATTAATTATGGGCGTGTGCTCCCACTTAACCGTATAACTTTATTATAAAGACAGCTTACTGAGATTTAATGGGACTCTGTCGAGTCTCTAGAATGCTGTATTTGTTTTTTATGTTTTTTTAATGTTAATCTTTATGAATATTTGCCATCCACGAGGGAGCACAGGAGACGTTTTGATCGGATATCTGTGTGTTACTTTAAGGAAACTTGACTGTTGAGTTGCAGTGGTACAGGCATGTTGAGACCTAGAAAGGCCTTAAATGGATCTGGCAATCACCAGGCACTGATAAGCTCCTGGGTTTTCTAGTATGCTGTGATTGTAAATGTATTGTAAGCTGAAGTCACGACGCTTCATCTGCACTTTGCTGTGAGAATGTACGAGGTGGCCAGGTACTATTTTCTGTGTAGTTCACACCATTAAGTTTGGCTGAGACGGACCGCTACCCGGATGAAAATCGAGGCACAGCTCTGGTCATCGTCTTGTGGAAGCGGTGTTAGCTACGGGTAAAGCTGTCTGGGATACTATTTTGCTGCTGAAGCTGTCTGGCCCTGCTGAACCCCATAATAACCCCCTCTTGTTTAAGGCACGCCACTGGGGAATTAGAGTAAGGTTGCTCCAGTGACAACTTTCCCTGAGCTATGCCATCAGAACTTTTAAAATTTAGTCTCTTTCTTGTTCTTTCATGTTTTTATTCTCTTCTGTTCTGTGTGTGTGTGTGTATATCTATGTATACACACACACACTTTCTTTTTTCTTTTTGATCCAAAATGGCTTGGGTGGCAATCTGCAGGCTGGAACTAAACGCTGCAGATTGAAATCTCAACTGTGACCTAGCTGTGGCTAACTGTGAATCTACTGCAGAGCTGCTCATCAAGCCTTTCTCCTCCTCACAGTCTAGATTCTCGTTTGTCTGTTGATTTATTTTTCTGTATCATATCGTCCGTCTCGGTTTTTTGTTATTTCAAAAGTTCAGATCAGCCTTTTCTTAAGCTACTTTATTTCAGTGTACATAAGCAACTCTTTATTATTATTATTTTCCACCAAACATTGATATTTCAGTTTGTAGTCTCGTTACAGTTTCAAGCTTCTGGACAAGTTTGGTTTAGCAAATTGATGTTGTAATTCCACGTTACCTATCAATTTCTTGTGTTTCTTTGTACACTTTTTTTAATTTTTTTATATGAATTGTTGGCTTTAAGCTTGACGTTGTAATCGAACTTAGATCAGCTGAGTCTACAAACATATGTTTTAAAAAGAAGAAAAAAAAAGTATCCCTCTCTCTTAGCCAAAGCGATCTCTGGAAAATGAGACGAGGCTTTTCTTAACACCCGATTTCAGCCGAGCCCGTACGTTATATTTACTATATCTGTTATTTGGCAAACCTCACTTAGGATCTACCTGATGATCACGCCATAGTATGATAAAATTCTGTATTGTTAAACCATTGCGCTCCAACGGTTGAGATGCAGTAGTTAGATCAACACAAATCATTTACATTGAATGCACTTTAAATGGGCAAATTCTTCGATCTTAAAGAAATGTTTTTGTGGTATTTGTCCTTTATTTTATTTTATTTTTTTTAATTAAAAAAACAAACAAACATGTCCTCATAGATTAAGGCCTAACAATCATTGTATTATCATGAAGCACCTTAAGACATTTTTTTATGGTTTATTATGGCAAGAATGAGTTTTGGTACATTTTGATTCATTTGTCAGATTTGCCGCTAACATGCTTGATAGACTTTAGGGCTGCCCCACCCCCCACCCCTCCAGGAGTCGGAACATTCTTGGTCGACCTGAAAAGGAAACACTCACTTTACAGGAAGTGTCAGTCACTCATGGAAACTTTTTTTCTTTTTCTCGCTTTTTTTCACACACAAAATCCAAAGCGTAGGAAGGTGACAGATAAATATTTGTCTGTCAGTCATCAACCTCAAACATTGGTTTTTGTTTCAAATATGCAAGTAGGCGAATGTTGGCCGCTTGGCATGGCCGCCGTCTTTAGACAGTCTGCTTACTAGTGATTGCAGCACAATCAGAATAATTACCTCTTTTGCTGCTGTCTGTAACAGGCAGAACGCTTCGTCCATGAGTTTGTATAATTGTTTTTCTCTGGTATGTAGCACGGTGGTAATGGTGTTACTTACAATGTTCTGTCTCAGCTTTCAAACCACTTTGTCGTGCTTGACAAAACACATTAGAAAATATGTTAAAATATAGTTTGGATTAATTAGATCACGGTCACAAAAACTGTTCAGCTAGGAAGATCTTTGGTCAGGGGGCAGCCCTAATAGATTTAACAGGTTTCTTAAAAAAAAACTGCATTTCAGTAAGTTAAATTATCTCAGTAGTTTAATCTGCAACTCCGTCATGGTCTCGAAAAGAAACGGTTTAAAAGAAAAAAACTTAGTTAGAAAATTGATAACTACTACTATCTGCAAAATGTGATTCACCAGTATAAAAACTGACCAATGAAATGTGCAAGCTGACTGGAATATGCGCTTTAACCTGATGCTGGTAATGTATAAATATGACTCCTATAGAGATAATAGTGTATTTTTTACAAATGAGTGGTAATCGTGAGCCAAAGTATTGAATGCTGAGATCGAGCTAAAGACGGGGTTTAGAATCAGCAGGGTTTGCACAAACAAAACAAATTTTTAAAAAATGGCCCCGGCCACAGTAACCGAGCGTAAAGCGCCACCTTATAACGGCGATGTGTTATTGATATACTGTTTGAGGGGGTTCCCTAGAAACGTCCCTTTTTCGGTGCCCTCTGATTTCTCGTTTTGTTTTTCCCTGTACAAAGGTTTATGTGCGCTAGGCTGTGCATTTTAAAAGAAAAGATTTCTGCTGTGCAAAGTACCTTTGCTAAAATTCTAAGACATTGTTGTGTATTGTATTTGTGTTTGTTTCTTTGTTGTTTATGCCAAAATGGGAGGGGTGTGGTTAAAATGATGCTTAAAGAAAGACCATTAATAGAGCTATTACATCATCAAAAATGTTAAGGCCTGTTTCCTGGATGGCCATTAAGCCTAATCCTTTAACTAAAACCACCTTCAAAGGATGAAAGCTGTATGGAAGGACTGTATGTTTTCAACCCAGATTTGGCTTAATCTGTAAAAGCAAGGCCGTTCTTTATCAAATGTACCGAGTCACTTGCAGAAGAGCGGTTTGGGTTTTTAGCAGCATATCAGTAACATACTGTACCGCTTTATTCACAAGCAGAGCCACTAATTTTGGCTTTGCGTCACGACACCAGACCAGTCGGTGCTTTCACCGTTACACTTAAGTAGTGATAGGCAGGAAACGTAACCTTGGCGGCTTTGCGATCGTCTTTTTATGCCACCTTTAGTCCTTTTCTCTCCTGACATTCATGTGGACGATCCTGTCCTCCTCGCTGTTGTTTTGGCTTATGTTGTAAACACCTGTTTAAGCTGCAGAAGGGAAGGAGCTTTGGGTTGCTTTTTGACAGTTTGATTAAGGAAAAAGCGATCTGGTTTTAGCTTCACTGTGCGGAACAAGATAAATGGCTCGGTGCCACTGTTTTCGGAGCTAGGTGTACACGAGACACACGTTTGAGCCACAGATACAGTGTCAGACTTGGTTTAAAATGAGAAAACGGAGAGGAACACATAGTTAGGCCTATATTTTTATTACAGTTATCAGAAAATTTGTATACAATCCACAAACCGGTTCTACTTCATCTAACTTCACCGTCCTACCTCATTGTTACTCTGGTGTTTGTTTGTCAGTGACTGTAAACTATGTGTGTATATTAAAAAAGAAAATCTATAGGAAAAGGTATACCTGGTTACTCTCAACATGTACAGCATATTAAAAACTTGTAAAACACCTCAGTACACAAATATCATTCTTAGGAGGAAATCAGTTTTATTACCTGCTTAAAGATGCTGCTGTAAAGGGGTGTCTGTGTGAGGGGTCGTCTCCGAATATATATCTTCGCTCTTTGCTATGTTGTGCAGTTGATCAGTGGTTGTGTTCTGTCTCTGTATTGCATTCTGAGATTTTTACTGGTTGACGGTGCTACCAGCAAACAGTTCGAAAACTGATCTATCGGACCTCAAATGGTGCTGTTTTTCTATGTTTTTATCGTCATACGGCTATGTTTTATTCAGGTGTGTCAACCGCCACTATCCCCTCAGCTTACTCGAATTCTAAAGCCAAAATATTTCACAAAAATCGATAACCCTGCTTTTACTGTATCAACTATATGCTATCCATCCAAATATTGTAGATAGTGATTATATCCTCAGCTGTGAGTTTCAGAAGTACCTCAGAAGTTGCCGATTTCAAATGGATGCATCTGCTTTTAGCACCTGTTGTCTATCAATTTACATTGTTGCAGTGTATTTTCGGAAATATGCATTTTTACTGATTAGATCAGGTTACACTATAGATAATAGATGATTATTAGCTCACACTCAGATGTCGACGATGTGAAAGTTAGAGGAAGCCACTGGTCGCATGCCACGCAGGAAATCTCAGTCAGACTGGGACGACGGAGTAGAAGAGGTCCTCAGCAAAAAAACAAAACCACACGTTAAGTTTGAGTCCATGTTAACCTCAGATTGTGTTCTAGAAGAGGGATGAAATGACAAAATACCCACGTAGAGGAATGTGTCAACTTCTAAAATTTGGACCATGCCAAAAATGCGATCAGGGTATATTCACGAAGACTGTTTTTTGTCGACGTTCTTGTCCTCTTGAATAATTATCTGTGATTCACCTGTTGCATCGCTTTTTCCCTCACCGTCACTTAAATGTAATTTAAATGTTAAAATTATGCATTTAGTGTAAGAAAGTATTAACGATTGACTTACTGTGAGTAATTATACAAAGTGCATTATATTTTCTTTTACCCTGTACCAATGGAATCTTTTCTGCACCAAAGTGTTTTTCTGTTGTTTTGTTTTTGTTTCTTTTATTGAGAGAAAAGGGTTGTGTCCCTTTTCAGTATGTTTCTATGTTCTTACTGATGGTTATTGTTTTCATTTCCAACCGTGCTGGTGAACATGAAATGTGCTGGTACCTCTCTACTGTGGGAAGAGCGTGTGTTCAGATACACAGCAGTCGTTTTCACGGAAGCACTTAAGCCATTCGTTGGACTGTTTTAATAATAGTTCAATTGTAAGCTTTGCTCTGGTCCAGGGTATTGACCCAGGGAGTTTGTGTGTAATTGAATTCCTATGCAGGTGTTGAGTTACTTACCTGGTACCACATCACTGTCGGGTAGAGGGCCAACTGCGGAGATGGAAAACTGGGCCTCGAGATTGAGTTAAAGGGGACAACGGCGACATGACAAATCCATACAGACCTATTAATGACATTTTCATACTTGTATTAAGTGAGCTATACAGGGCTGCTTGGATATCTACCTGTCTGTATTAGGTATAAACGCATTGCAGTGATCATTAGGGAAAGACAGGGTTATTACTGTATGGAGTATTTCCAGTTGGTATGATAATGTGAAAAGAATTTCAAGACTTTTGGAGTTGACACTCCCTCATTATTATAGCCTCCCAGAGGCAACCCTACATTTTCAGAAAATGTTATAAGTATATGCGATAGAGAGTGTACATGTCTTTGCTAAACCGGCCACACCTCTGCTATGCGAGCAAGTCTTTGACGCTTAGCATCCTGTTCTGTGTTTTCTCTTGCTGCATTCAGGAACACCTGTTTAATGTATAGATA